ATCACCTTTTAGGGTGAATAAGTGTCATCTGCTGATCCAGAGTGTGGTATGTGGGGAAGAGCAGAGCCCTCATCTCCCAGTCAAGCAAACCAGACAAAGTTCCAGCCCAGTGCTCTGTCAGAGGGGTGGAAAGGGTAGAATCAGGGCTGCAGGGATATAGAGTGGGTGCTCAGCTGTCATCTGGGGTCCGCTGCACACCTCCCCCATGCAGTGTATCCCATTTTCTTTCCCTTGCATATTTTTTGTTTATCCATTCATTTTACTGGAGCATAATATCCACTAGCTTCTTGAGAAATGGTGTCTGGGCAACAAAGTTTTTAAGACTTGCATGTCTTAAAATGTTTTTCTTCTATCCTGACATTTGATGGATAATTTTATTGGGTGTGGAATTTCATGTTAGAAATTAATTTCCTTCAGAATCATGAAGCCGTTTTCTCATTTTCTTCTTACTCCCAGGTGTTTCTTTTGCGAAGCCCAAAACCTTTGTGCCTGCCTGTTTTTTCTTCGCGATCCAGTGTCTTCCTCTTGTTCCCAGGTGTTCTGAAGTTTCACTGTACGTGCATCAGTGTGGTTCTGTTTCCATCCATTGTGTTGGGCCCTTGGTGAAATCTTTACATCTGGCAACTCACATCTCACTGACCTGGAAAATTATTTTGTTGTTATTTTTTGTTTGTTTTCCTTATTTTCCCTTTCTATAACTCCTTTGGTTTGGATGTTGAATCTTCCGGGCTGATCTTGTAATATTCTAATATTTTCTTTTATATATTCTATCTTTTGTGATTTTTTTAATCTTTCAAATCTTCTAGTGAGTTTTTAATTTCTGCTAGCAATAAAAAGCATTTTTTTCCTGAGTTGTTCTTTTTTCTGAATGTTCCTCTTCTATAGTACCCTGTTCTTCGTTCAATGTTTTCTTTTCTCTCTGAGGATGTTAATGACAAGTTTCCTTTTCTTCTATCAGCATAATTCCTGCTCCTTCCAGGTTGTGTTTCTCTACCTGTGCTTTTAGGTCTTGTCTCTCATGCTAAGGCTTCCCCTCAGTGCCATTCCATCCTGTTGTCTGTTCATGATGAGGACCAGGGGATGGAAAAGCTGGTTGGAAGCTCAGAGGGGACGACTGGCAGTTGTTATGTCTGAATTTATTGTGGGTTATCTGGTTGAGCCAGTTGTCAGGGAGCACCTGATATCTATTATTCCAGTTCTGTAGAGGCTGGTGGGTAGGAAGTCTTCTAATTTCCTGCTTGTACATACTGGCTGACAACCTGGGGAGCTAAATGGTGAAGGGCTGGGGGAGGAGGAATCCCTGCCCACAACCCTCAATATGCAAGTGAGGACTGAGTTATGTTTACAGAACAGCAATCAGGCCCTCAGTAGAACCTGGAATCCCTTAAACATCACAGGTTTCTGCCAAGGGAAGGTTGGGGCAGATGCCCAAATACACAGACTGGAGAGAGGGATGTAGAGTACCCTTTGAATTTCTTTTCAAACCATCTTCCCCATCTTGCTTTGTTTCTAGCTCCACCCTTAGTCCCTGATTCCAGAGGTGCTTGATGCTGCCCTGCCTGAGGGTTTTGAGGATTCTGTCCCATAACTCAGGTTGGTCTCAGCTTCTCCCACTGCTGCCTTGGGGTTCTTTTGTATCTGCTAAATCAGTTAGCAATAATCCAACTTCGGGCTTCCCCGGTGGCGCAGTGGTTGAGAGTCCGCCTGCCGATGCAGGGGACACGGGTTTGTGCCCCGGTCCGGGAAGATCCCACATGCTGCAGAGCGGCTGAGCCTGTGAGCCATGGCCACTGAGCCTGCGCATCCGGAGCCTGTGCTCCGCAACGGGAGAGACCACAACAGTGAGAGGCCCGCATACCACAAAAAAAAAAATAATAATAATAATCCAACTTCTCTCCATCTTCCAAAACTTTATTGCTATTTTATTCCACTCCTCTATATCTCATCCTTGTGGCTTTTTCAACAGAATTCTCTTGTCTTAGTTTGGTGTATTTTTGCAAGAGAATGAGATGTGAGATGATGTGCATTTACAACTAATCACCTCTAAGCTATAAATTGCTAAGTTCCTTCCAAATTCAAACTTTTACATACAACTCAACATATCTGGAGATTATTTTGGTATATAATAGAGATAATATTCCAACCTGATACAAACAAAACTTGACTTTCCCAAACCCCAGCTTTTACAACATTCACCCTTTCCCACACTAGAGCATGATGCTGCCATTATTATAAATTAAGTTCTTACGTCTGTTTAGGGCAATTTTAAGATTATGTATCCTTTCCTATTGATCTATAAGTCAATTATCACACCAGAGCATCCAAAACACTCAAACACATATGCAGGCTCACACGGGCACACACACGTTCACACATGCACACACAGGGGCACACATGTTCACGTGCTCACACACACTCTTACACACATGCACATGTTCACAGATGCACACACACGTGCACACACGCTCGATGACTTGGTGTTTCCTCGGGTAACTGTCTCCAGGAAGAAAGGGAGGAAGGCGAGGGCAGGTGGTAGGAAGAGCCTCCTGTACCCAGAAGGCAGTGCCGACACGCAGCATCATGTGACCTGCTCTCGGGAGTCGTCCTGGTTTCTGATGGTGAGCAGACATCTTCTCTCAAGTACGGAAGAAACACAGTGTGGATGGACTACCAACTAGTTGTTCTCACGTTAGCCTACGGCTGCAGCTGAGCAGTTTGTGGAAACTCGCCCAAGATTTTGGGTATTGAAAGCATTTGCAACACGTGGCATGTCTGGGCAAACACTCCAAGCCCAAACTCAGCACTTTATCAATGTTGTTCAAGCACAGGCTTTGCCAAACAAACAACAGATAAATACATACATAAAAGGTAAATATTAAGACAATTTCTTCTGATTAGACAAACCCGAAGATTCATGCTGCTAATGTAGAAATGTTTCTAGTCATGATTAGTTGTAATATCTTTTATGGTTTTCTTTGGATCAGAGAGGAGAAAAGAAAACACAAAAGGAACAGGAAATTTAAAATTATTTCCTACGGTCTAGGAGGAAGAAATTGCCTATGGCTGAGTTGGAGAGAAACTTCTGAAAACTGGATTTATTCTGCCAGAAAGGGCTTTTGATTCTAAGCTGTCCTAAAGATACAGACAATTCAGTTAAGCATGCAACTCAAAGCAATGATTCAGGATGAGCTGGAAAGAGGCCTCTGGTGAAGGCTGAGATATATGATTAAAAAGTAATTTAAAATAGTTAAGACCATAAAGAGTTTGGACTAGAAGTCGGGAAATTTGAGTTTTAGCCCCAGAATCTGCTTTTAATTAGTTCTGTAACTTAGGGAATTAACTTCTCTTTCAAAGCCTTGGCTTCCTCACCTAAAATGCAGAAGCCAATGCATACAGTCACCAAGGCCTCTTACAGCCCTAAGTCTCCCTGAGGGAAATTTCAGCCAGGACGCCACTGACACACTGGCAACTGAGAATAGGGTGGTCCCTGGGGTGAATCACGGCTGTGGGACACGGGACACGAGGTGAGCGCGTTCTTCTCAACCAAAGCCTCATGGAGTCTTTCCTTCATGCGTCTAAGAGCTTCCAAAACGCAAAGAGACAGACAGTCCCATTTTACATTTTTTAATTTTTGAGAGAAAGACAGGCAGAGTGATGACTACCCCACCTCTCCCCCAAGTGCAATGGAAGCCTGGGCCCTCCTGGGGTCCCACATGAGGCTCGGAGACCCTCCCACCATGCATCACCTCATCCCACCCCCAAGAATGAAAGGGGGGAGCTCAGAGTGCGAGGAGAGTGCTGGAGGGAGTCCAGATTTTATCAACTGTGAGCCCAAACCCAGTCCACAGGAACGTGCCTGTGAATTTCTAACATCCCATATTTACCAAAAAGTGTAAAGGTCATAGCAGGTAGGGGCATTGGTTGTAAGAAGTAGCAACCCACTTGTCCTGGCATAAAAAAAGGGGGCCTTTATTATAAGAATATGAGGTGATGCCTGACATCAAAGGAGGAGTGGAGCTGGGCCATGTGCACAGATCACTCTGTTCCCTGCATGGACCACTCTGTTCCCCACACAGGACCACTCAGTTCCCTTTCCCGCACGGACCACTCTGTTCCCTGCACAGGCAGACTCCATCATTTGCTTCTCTTGCCCATGTGGGAGTTGGCAGCCACCACTGCTCCAAGGTTCCTCGTCAGTCCTGAGTGTCGGTTCCTGGTTTCCAGGACGTGTGATCTGATGGGCCCACTTAGGTCAGAAGGTCATGGTTCATCCAACCAGCTGTAGCCCAGGGGAGGGGGACCAACCCTGTGCCTGAGGTGGGAAGTTCCCAGAACCATGAAGCTTACAGGCCCAAGAAGTCCTCCTGCAGAGAGGCTGCCACATGGGGCAAGGAGCACATGGCATTTTAGTCATGAGGGGAAAATTCAGAGTTGCTCTTCTGAAAACATTTTCCCTGTTTAGAAGTATTTTTCTTTCCACCAGGAAATCAGTATGATGAGCAGGAGAAACAATTCACCTAAAAGTAGTCCTGTATGTAAATCTTTATCCCAAATGTTGGGCCACTCCAAGATTGTGTCATCTGTTCATAAAACTATGTCGCATATTTGCTTCGGGGACCAGCCTGTGCTGAATCGGTGTCCAACGACTGGGACAGGCTGTGTGGTGACCGACAGCCGGGAGCAGGCCAAACCCAGCCTTCCAGCCAGGCCACAGGCCAAGGTTGCAGCACTGGATGGTGGCTGTCACATCCCACGGGAACCTGGATTCTGGCTCCCACAGCGCAGGCCCACTGGGGTCACGACCTGAAGGCGGACAAGAACGGAAAGGGATAGCCATTTCTCCCCTGGGTGGCAGGGCGGTCAGCCAGCAGCCTCGGGTCCAGAGCTGGAGCCCGAGGTGAGCAGCGGGGCTTGGGCCCACAGACGGGGCTGTGACGGCAGGTTATGTCCCAGTGGGAAGGAAGCTCCTTGTTACATCAGCATACAGTCTGCTCCTGAAAAGACATTGTTTCCGCGTGGGATGGGGAGAGACCCCGTCTGCAGGAGGCCTGGGGCACGGAGGCAGGTCCCTCTCCTTTTCCCACACCCAGCCTGGGGCCTGGAGGACAGCTGTGGCCCAGCAGCCCCTCCTCTCTGGACCTCTGCTGTTTCCCCTGGGGAGGCTCCCAGGCCCAGGAGTAGCACAGACCACGCGGATGGATATGGGGCACCTGTGGACCCCCCTTTGTGCTTCTTCTCCATCGGGCCACCCAGGCCACCTGCTGGGGCCACGTGCCCATGCCCACTGCCCAGCAGACTCTCACTGGCAGGACCCAGGCATTTCCCTAACACGCTTGTGTGTTTTCTGAGATGTGGTGTTAACCTCGTAAATGTCTGGATGAAAGTTCGAATAAACAAATAAAATCACCCGCTGTCCTTGATCCACATGGATTGGTCTGTTCTAGTTGAGCCATGAGCCTGTCTCTGGAGTGTCTGTAAGCATGGATGGCTGCATGGGTCCACCTTCTGTGCTTCTCCACGTGGAAGCACCAAGCTCATCCAATGAAGGGATCACCTTTAAATCTGACGTTGGCTGTGATCAAGGACTACAGAGAACACGGTCTAGTCAATGAAGACAGTGTGTGAATAGCTGGGTCTCCCATGTCCTCAATGCGCGCCTGTGGTGGGACCACATTTAGTCCTTCGTTATCTCCCGACCTTAACAAGACGTTAGGAGTGATGGATGAAGGAACTGAGGATTCCAGTTAAGGGGGGAGGTTAAGGGGGTGAATTCAAAGGATGTACCAGCTGCAGTCGTCATTGATTCTCCTCCCCCATGTTTCCTCTCTTCTTTTCCCTGCCCCACCTCCCTCTGAGATCCCCCTTTATAACCTAGCAGGTCAGCTGCATAAGCCACACTCTGCAACCCGGCCTAACAGACTGGCTTTATGTTTCCCTAGGCAAGCCCCTCGGCCAGTGGGTGTTATCTCACTAGGTGTGTGCTGAGCGTGTTCAAGAACCTGGTTCCCTTCTGTGTCGGGAGAAAAGTCACCATTGCCACCCTTGTGGGTCTTACTCAGCAAGACAGCCTTGCTTTCTGAGACCAGCAATTACGCTCCGTCTGAACAAATGAAGTCAGCGCCCAGAAGGGCCGCATCCCGGTTCACCTGGTCAGTCACTGGGGCTCACAAACCCGCCCAGAAAAAACCCACCAGATCCTCGGAACCACAGCCACTTCTCAGTCTTTCTGCCATCTCCCGGCTGGGTTCTGTCTTCTGACGTGAGATATTCCCTGTCCCCAAAATATTTCCTAATATCTCCTCAACCCAAGAAAGTTCAAAGACTCTACATTCAGATACCCATTCCAATGCATTTTAAAACCTTTCTGCCTATCACAATTATTGTAGCTGAGCTAAGCGACAAGGTCTAGCGTTTACAAATCATGTCCAATGTGGGCCCTTCTGCCAATTAATCTATTCAGCTGTTTTCCTGTAACTGTTTTCTCTCTGATCGTAGATAATGTCTTTCAAGGTATTAGGTGGCGCCAGTGCATTCCTTACACACTGCCTTACGGTCCTGCAAAGAAAATTCTGTTTACATTATTACTTAGTGAGAACTAAGAGTTTGCTTGGATTCATTATTTCTTCTTTGGTCATGAAAAATGTGTGAATTATAAAACCTACCTTTCCCAAAAGCATACCTTTCCAAAACGTTGCCCAAATCTTGTTTTTTCTCTGATAGTGATTTTCTAAGTCACTTATTTTGGGGGGAAAGGGATGGAGAAAAGTACATTTTTTCCTTTTAATAGGGACCCTTAATATTTAATGGGAAACAATGATTCTAGTTCAATTTTGCCTTATGCCTGAGCCTAGTAAACATCATCATAATATGCATAAAAGTAACAACGATGTGCCAAATGTAAATGACGCCACCTTAAGTACCAAAGTAAACTCCTTCCCTTCAACGATTTGTGAACAAATAGATGAGGGGCCGCTGGAGATGGATCAGGTCAACTGTGTGTCGACTCCACTCCTGTGGGGGAGGGCCCCCTCTGCCACCCCCGAGCTGCCCACGGCCTGCTCCAGGCTCCCAGGCACCCCGGGAGAAGGTCCTGTGTGAGGAGGGGGGGCTGGACCCCCAATGCTGCCCCATCAAGGTCAAGGTGAGCCGGCAGACAGCCACAGAGAGGCAGCCTGCCCCCGTGCCTGGCCATTCCAGAGAGAGCTAGAGAGACACAGAGAGAGGGAAAGAGAGAAGGAAGGATGGAAGGACAGGAGGAGGCGGGGCTGCGGCCTCGCTCTGCCTGCCGGATCTCACGCCAATTTCTCGTAGTGACTCCAACCTAGACTCATTACCCAAAGGGAACCCTGGACCTAGCTTGGAGAAGCTGACACCACACAAGGCTTCAAAACACCCTTGAACCCAGAGTCAGCCCAGCGACTCCCTTTGTTCACGTCCCCCCAAGCACATAGCGGCTGCTGGGACGATGCAATACAGGAGCCGGCACACGACCGGCCAGGACAGCTGCCCCAGGGTCACGAGGCCAGGTGCCACGCCCTGCCGCATAACCTCTTGTCCTTGCTGACCTGGTGTACACGTGTATTTCCCAATTCCAAGAATAGTAAGAGATTGCTCTGTCCCCTGATGTCTCACCAACAGTGGAGGCTCAACATCTTTCTGTGACTGACACACGTGAGCTCACCCACAGGTGGACCCACCCAGCCCCATTCTCGGGCTCCCACCTCCCGGTCAGCGGGGTAACAAGACGCAGTTCCATTCTGTGTCCTCTCACTCCTGGAGGCGGGTCTGCTTAGCCAGAGGTTTCAGATCAGACGTGTGGGGCTCAGGCCGAGGGCACTCTGTCCCCGGGCCTCGTCTGTGACCAGCCAGGGCCCTTCTGTCCACAGCACGAGGCCGGGTGCCTGCCGAGAGGCTGTCATGAAGCTTGAGGGCCCGTCACTCCGAAAGCACGCTGCACCAGGCTACGCCCCACGTGCGTGTTCAGTCTCTGCATCCTACCCGGCCCTCGTGACTGGGGAAGGAAGAGGCACCCACCACACTCTGCATGCTGTTCATCCTGAGTTAAACGTGTTGCCACGTGTTCCTTCGTGTTCCTTCTCTCGTGTGTCTTCTCTAGCGATGACCTCGTCCAGGGTCAAGTTTGATCTTTTTATCAAGATGTCAGTTGTTTTCTGCCTTCTTTGTTAAACTTCTCCCTATAAATACTCTTACCAGCCTGTCCTTGGTGTTTCACTGTTTCACGTGAACACTTGGGATTCGTACATATTCGAGCCTAAATCATTCCCTTGATCACATGACTGATCGTGTCAGATATAGGACAGCCTTTCCCACCCATGACTGTATGAACGTTAACCTGTACTTTCTTCTCTACTTCACGGTTAATGTGCTAACATTTACATTTCTGATCCCCATGGAATTTAGTCTATGAGGTTTAAAGCAGAATTCTAGTTTTATTTTACTACCAACTGTTTGCCCATTATTTCCTGCTGTGCTTTTGTGAAAATAAACCCTTCTTCATTCACTGAGCTGAGGTGTCACTTTAATTTTACACCAAATCCCCACATATTCTGGAGTATCTTTCTAGACTTGTATTCTATTCAGTCTCTGTTGCTTTGTTGGGACCTTACAGCTTTAACTAAGCCCTTCAGTGCAGGACAGTGTAGCACGGCCCTCACACCCTTCCATTTCAGGTTACTTTTGAAAAGTTTAGCATGTTTATTCTTCCCAATGAGCTGTAGATTAATTTTGTCACTTTCTCCTAAAATTGCATTAGGGATTTTCTTTGAACTGTATAAAAATGTTACAGGTTCCTTTTAAAAATGTAAATCTTTAAATATTTTATGTCTTCTCCATTTATCCAGATCTTCTTGATGAAAATTTTTATATTTTCTTCATAAAAGAACTTTACCCTAGCACAGTCATCCCTCGGAATTTTTCATTGTTACTGTGAATAGAATCGTTTTTATTACATCTCATGGTCACACGAGTCTCTCCAGTTTTCAGGCAGCTAGTATTCTCTTCAGCGTTGACAGCCCTGTTTCTCTCCTCCCCTGGACACACGCACCACCTGCTTCCTTCTCTTGCCTCTCGCTTTCTCTAAACCAGTCCTGCCATTATTCCGAGTTCACCGCTTCCAGGGCCAAAACGGCGACTGCAACATCATCTGTGGGGTTCAGACTAATGTCCCCTATCAAGACGGAAAGCTGTCTTTATAATTTTAATGAATTATGAGTTTCAATTTTATTAAATGTTCCTTTGGCTGCTGTCAAGATAATCATAGGTTGTGAATTCTATAAATACATTTTTAAATAACAAACACCTTTTTTTCCTGGAATAAGACCAGCTGTGTTTTAATGTATTAATGTTTATTTATTAATATAGATCAACTGGATTTATGTATTAGTACCTCTGCTGTCTTCCCACCGAAGAGCGGCTGGGTGGGCAGGCCCAGTCAGAACATGCTTCTGTCGTTAGCTGACCGCGTCATTCCTTTATCTCCTAGGATTTACTGTTGCAGAGAGGTCTGCCAGATTTTTGTAATCTGTTTTTAATTAGCTTGCTCTCTCAGAATGCTGAAAACATTTTTTTTCTTCTTTTAAAAATCTTTTGCCATGTTTGCTTACTGTAAGTGTTCTTTTATCAACTTTGGAGAAGCTTCTTCTCCATCCAGGAACAGGCACCTGAGCTGTCCCTCTGTCGCCATGTCCCGTGTTGGGCTCAGCATCCCTCACCTCTGGGTCTCCCGTCCCCTCCGGTGTTTGTCCTCCTGTTCAGCCTGAAGGAGATGCTCCAGTGCATCTCCCACATCACTGGTTCTCAACATCATTAATTATGCTTCATTAATTATGCCTGTACTGCCTCCCATCTGCATTATAAATCAGGCCAATATTAGTTTTATTCCAAACCTCCCTTTTATTATTTAGCTCCATTTACCTCTCAGTACTTTTCTTTGTTTTTAGCTGACGTATCATTTTATATTTTATTAATAATTTGAAATACTCCTTTGAAATAATTTTCTGCATTTTGGAGAACATCAAAATCATACTTTCCCTCTATGCCTTAAATATTTTAGTTGTAAAAGTATTTTTATTTAGACTTTTTAATAATAGGCTCCACATTCTACTGGGTATTTTTTTCCCTCTTTATACCTTTATAAACAAGATAACTGTTTGCAACTCATGCTGTCACAGCAAGAATAAGTACATCTCTCTTGGTCTCTCTGTCCATTGATATAATGACTAAAATCATTTTTCAAAAATAATGAGAGAAAGTAAGGTATCCAGCTACTAGTCTTTGCAATTCTTTATGCTCCTTTACAGTTCTTAGCTTACTTTGTACACTGAAAACATTACCCAGGATGTACACCCAGATGCCTTCCACCAATTCACGTCTATACGTTTACCTCCCAGAATATAGTGGGTCACCATTGGTTTTCCTGTAGTTTACCTCAACTTATTTCCTAATATCTGTAGTAGTGTATCATTTTAAGAAAATGATAAAAGAAAGGGAAGAGAAGAAAGTCATATGCACTTCAGAATTCTGCCTCACAAGCAGTTTTAAAGGCATTAGGGTATGAATTACTATCTACTGCTACACAACAAATTACTCTAAAGCTTAGTGACCTAAACAGCAGACGTTAGTTACCTCACAGTTTCTGTGCATCAGGAATCTGTGCAGAGTTTATCTGGAGGCCTCTGGTTCAAGGTCTTTCATGAGGTTGTAGTCAAACAGCCAGCCAGGGCTGTGGTCTCATCTGGAAGCTGGATGGGGAGGGGTCCACTTGCACTCACATGGCCTTGGCAGGCTCCAGTTCCTCATGGACGGTGGGGATGAGGGCTTCAATGCTTGCTGAGCCACACGGGCCTCTCCATAAGACTGCTTCCAGCGTGGAAATCTGCTTCCCCAGCGCAAGCGAACTGAGAGAGCAAAAGTGAGAGAGCAGAAGTGAGAGAGAGCAAGGGAAGCCCCCAGGATGGCAGTCAGGGTCTTTCTAAAACTGAATATTGAGAGTGATATCTCATGATGTCTTCTCTTCTGCCTCGTTCCCCCTTTAAAAGTGAGTCACTGGCGCCACTCACAGCCCAGAGGCAGGGATCACCAGGGTCCATCCCAGAGGATGGCTGCAGCTGGTCACCTCCTTCATGGTTGGTCACAGGCAGCGAACACATGGAGGAAGAGACAGGAAAGTACTTTCTACCATTTTTCAGATACTACTGCCAAGAAGTACAACTGGGGTCTCTCACGAAGAAGACCAAGCCTCGGTCGGCTTCTTGATCCATCTTCGTTACTCCCAGTATCTATCACTGAAAGGTTTTGGTATTAGATGGTCTATTGGTTGAAATTTTTAATTTTGAAAATTTCTCTGTCTTCACTTGTATTTGTTGTGATGCTGGATATAAAGTTTTGCGCTGAAACTTGTTAAACAGACCAAACAGAAGAACTTGCACTTCTTCTACCTTGAACGTGCTTTTAAACTAAATGTCCTTTCTAAGGAATAAACAGAGTTGGAATTACATATCTAAATCATGTGTGTGTTTATTCTAGAAAGCAATGGCTAAAAGCATCCACATAATCGAGGGGTGAGTTTTGCTTTTATTTATTCATATGTAATCCCATAGGTAGAGAAATCCCAAATATGATAAAGGCATAGTTGACTTAGGTATGATGGCAAACACAGCAAGTATCCTCAGGCGTTCTGCTGAATTAAAAAAGAAGGTTAGCCTGTTTAATGTTTTTATTTAGCTAAAATAGATATTACAGTTGATATAAACACAATAAAATTACAATAATATCATGAAACAGAGAAAAAGATATTTGAAATAGTGGTAACTCCCCTGGATTAGGGACTTCACTGTGTACATTCTTTAACAAAGTCAGGAATTTTAGCAACAAGAGGAGCTGTTAGTGAAGAGAATCACTTATCCTTGTGTCTTACACCTGACAGTGTAGGCAACAACAAATCCACAACATGCCTACCATCAATGTGCTTACCACACCAACGAAGGCAGACACTTGGAGGAGCTTGGCGATGGCCCCAGCATGGCCCTTGCTAGCTGGTGGTACTCAGATTTGAACCCAGGAAGTCATACTGCAGAACGCATGCTCCTAACTTGCTATGAGTTGTTGCCTCAGTGAGGAACATGGGAACAGGTACATGATCAGTATTTGTTCACTTAATTAACAAATTCATGAATGCTTCAATGAATGGATGGACCTAGATTTTTTTTAACAAAATCTGATTCAAATTATGGAGTACTACCTCTTTTCTTTGGAAGGTTCTTATCCTAATAAGTGGTGCCTACAGAGAAAAGCTGCTTCGTTTATTTTTCTTAGTCAACATAATATCATGTTCGTGCTATTTTAAGAGGGGGGAAAAAGACGAAAGGAAAATGCATAATCACTACTGTAAACCAGTTTCATGTGTACAGAGGTAGCCATCTTTACCCTCATCCTTTATCCAATTTCAAAAACTTGGCAGTGTGTGGAGTTACCAGTCACCTCCTAAGACTTCTGGTGTTGGAAGTAAGACCCTAACTCTCACTGAATTATGGACTGGAAAAATCTGGTCTCCTTATGTGTTTTCCATATGGTTAGCTGAAGCTTTCTCTGCTCCAACACTGAGAAGGCCAGCATGTCTCCCCTGGCGGTTTTAAAGATTTTATAAAGTGGAAAATATTTTGCTTCCTTGGACTATCAAACTAGAGAGAATGAAAGACACTGCTATCATGTTTGGTGTTCATTTATTTTTCTGAATGTGGTAACCTCTTAAATCGGTGTGAGCTTAGGGGGCTTAAGGTTTGCAATTTGACCACATAAAACCAGAAATGTGTATGTATTTCTCTGTTAATATTTTGAGGAAAATATCTCCCCATCTTTATTATAGTGATACCTATTTTTCTGAATTCCATTATCTTCCCCAAAATGTTGTGTCTTTTAGTAGAAATAAGAAGTAGAAAAAATGTAAATTAATGTTTCTCCCTAGTGAGAAACAGGAGGAGGATGGAAAGTCATTCAGGAACTGAAACCAAGCATGATAATTGCCACTTTGGGGCTCTCAGACACAGGGCTTGCTTCTGTAGACTTCTTTACCAGCACCAAGAAAAAAAATCAAAAACTCTTACAGCCAAAGCTCTGTGAATATTTTTCCTTTTTATCTCAAGTAGTTCAGTAACACTTCTAAGAATTGTTAAAAACAATGGTGGATTAGATGATCCTGACTAATGATCTATTAAAACTCAGGGTCTGAATGCAATTTTCATCATTTCCAATTGCTTTCCAACTGAACTAAAACTTGGCAGGATTACTAAAACTGCCCTTAAATTCTTTATTTCATCATGCTAAGTTTTAATTTGTTTAATTTACTTGTTGGCCATTAAAAAGTATAATTTTATTTTTCCAGAGGTCACTCACATGTTTGTTTAGCCCATCTGACTTGACAGTTTGCAACAAAGAAAATAGAAATTAAAGATAATGGTATATTAATTCAGGTTTTGATATAGTTTTTATTAATATTATTTTACGTTGAGGAGGGAATACTGTTTCAAAAGGTTTGATTTGAAAAATGGTTCTTTACAACTGCTTTGCCAGATGACAGCAAACTGATGTAGAAAGTGGTGGATCGAGGTAGGTGGGGAGGAAAATTGTACTAAATATGATTTTGCAAAAGACAGGCTTCAAAACTGAAATTTATTTTCTAGGAAACTTTTGAGCAAGGTTAAATAGTGAGTATTAAAGAACTTGAAAATTTATATTTCCAGCCACCCAGTCTTATGACATTTTGTTCAAGTAATATTTATTTTTATATATTCCGGTAAGGGGAACTTAGGTCTAAGTCCATACATCCAATGTAAGTGAACACATGAAGAATTTGCTAGGAAAGGTGAGCACACAACACTGAAGATCACTTGGCCCATAAAGTCAGTCTTTGGAATCAATCTATGACAAAGGAGGCAAGAACATACAATGGGGAAAAGACAGTCTCTTCAACAAGTGGTGCTGGGAAAGCTGGATAGCTACATGTAAAAGAATGAAATTAGAACACTTCCTAACACCGTACACAAAAATAAACTCAAAATGGATTAAAGACCTAAATGTAAGACTGGAAACCTTAAAATGCCTTAGAAGAAAACAAGGTAGAACGCTTTTTGACATAAGTTGTAGTAATATTTATTTTTGGATCTCTCCTAAGGCAAAGGAAACAAGATCAAAAGTAAACAAATGAGACCTAATTAAACTTTAAAAAATTTGCACAGCAAAGGAAACCACTGACAAAATGAAAAAACAACATACCGAGTGGGCGAAAATACTTGCAAGTAATACGACAGATAAGGGGTTAATATCCAAAATATATAAATGTTCATACAACTCAATATCAAAAAAATAAACAACCTGATTAAAAAATGAGCAGAAGCTTGAATAGACATTTTTCCAAAGAAGACATACAGGTGGCCAACAGGCACATGAAAAGATTCTCAACATCTCTACTCGTCAGGAACATACAAATAAAAAACACAACAAGATATAACCTCACACCTGTCAGAATGGCTGTCACCAAAAGACCACAAATAACAAATGTTGGTAAGGATGTGGAGAAAAGGGAACCCTTGTATGCTGTTGGTGAGAATGTAAATTGGTGCAGCCGCTATGAAAAACAGTATGTAGGTTCCTAAAAAACTAAAAATAGAACTACCATATGACTGAGCAATTCCACTCCTGAGTATATATCCAAAGAAAATGAAACACTAATTAGAAAAGATATGTGCACCCCGATATTCATAGCAGCATTATTTACAATAGCCAAGAATATGGAAGCAACCTAAGTGTCCATCAACAGATGGAAGTACATCTGTTGGAAGAAGATGGAAGAAGATGTGGTACATACATACAAGGAATACTACTCAGGCATAAAAAAGAATGAAATAATGCCATTTGCAACCACATGGATGGACCTGGAGGGCACTGTGCTAAATGAAATGTCAGACAGAGAAAGACAAATACTGTATGATATCAGCTATATGTGAAATCTCAAAAATAAAACAAATGAATATAACAAAACAGAAACAGACACACAGATATAGAGAACAAACTAGTGGTTACCAGTGCAGGGGGGGAAGAGAGGAGAGGCAAGCTGGGGAGATGGGATAAAGAGATACAAAAACTACTATGTATAAAATAGATGAGCAACAAGGATATGTTGTATAGCACAGAGAATAGAGCCATTATTTTATAATAACTTTAAATGGAGTACAATATTGAATCATTATATTGTACATCTAAAACTAATATTGTAAATCAACTATACTTCAAATAAATAAGTAAATAAATAAATAAATATATGTTAGTATTTCGCCCTGAATTAACTGGGTCCAAGGGACTCTGGCTTTTGCAAAGAGTTGACATTTTGTTCAGGGACAGTGGGAAAGGCTTGTCATTATCTCAGAAGAGGAAATGGGCTTTCTATAATTCACCTCTAAGTACCAGATTTGGTGTAGATTTTTAAAAAGGTATTCTTTAGGAAGTTCCTACAGTATTTCTATTCTTCTGTCCTTACTTTGCTAAGTATATTTATTGATATACAATATACAATATTTATTGTATGTTTACTGTATATCAATAAATATACTTAGTGCAGTTGATTGTATATCAATTTTACCTAAATAAGGCTATTGAAAGCATAGTCAAACTCATTTGTTGCAGTTAAAGAGTGGTAGGAGAGAAATTTATATCTACAATACATACACTAGGGGGGAAAGCTGAGAAATAACTGTCTAAGCCTCCACGCCAAGAACTAGAAAGGGAACACCAAACGAAACCGAGGAGAAGATAAAGGAAATCATAAAAAGCAGAGGTCAGCGCATTATAAACATATGTTTTTGTTTGTGTTTGCAAGCACCTGTTGTCTATTAATCACCTGAGA